GTTAGTTGAAGGAAGATTTAGGTCTAGGAAACTTTAAATTATAATTTGACAGGTATAAAAGTCTTTAAAAAAGTTTAACACCTAGTGCAAATCTAGTCAGTTCAAAGTTTCTTGTCAGAAACAAGACCTATACCTATATCACTCAAGTTCTATATTCCTAATAAATACTTGACACCATTAAATTTGTATCATTCTGATACTTATTATCACATATTGATTGTCTTACGTTTCTGACATCATTAACATTGCTAATAATAATTTCTTTAATAAGTAAATCACGAAGAAACAATCTTTTTATTGATAATAATTAAAATTTTTTATTAATTTAAAATTATGTTAGTTGAAGGAAGATTTAGGTCTAGCAAACTTTAAATTATAATTTGACAGATATAAAAGTCTTTAAATTATAATTTGACAGATATAAAAGAAACAAGACCTATACCTATATCACTCAAGTTCTATATTCCTAATAAATACTTGACACCATCAAATTTGTAGAAACATATTGAATATGATTAAAAACACAATCATCTCTCTAACATTTCAAGCATTGAATAGACATACTTAAAGTTATTTAATTAAGATGCCTCTGCAAAATTAATCTTCAGCTATCTTCGATTATTGTTTTTCTATTTACCAATTGATATTAGCTATTCTATTAATTGAATTAAAAAGATTCATCTGAGTCCAAATATTTATGCACGATTCTCAGATGTTTGCAAAAATCTTCTTCAGTGTTTATATTGTATCAGTTTGAATTATTCGCAGTGGGAGTCTCTTATCTTTTTGTAGATAGATCCTTATTTTGATCTTCAATCTACTAATCAATGTATCTGTCACTTAACCTAATGCTACATTAACGCAATATTTAATTTTTTTTCCAATCAATTTATGTTACAAAAATTTCATTTTTAGTATTGAAATAAAAGGAAATTCCAAGGATTTATTTAACATTTATTTAACATTTTGTCAGCGGATTGTTTATAGAGACTATTAGAACTATCACTATAGAAAGTACAATCTTATTATTTAATAAATATTTTTATTTATTTATATCAATTAGTAGTCATGTAAAAAAAAAAAAAATAAAACTTTTATGATAAATTACTGCTTGATACTTATGTAGTCAAAATAAAGATTATTTTGGACTTTCTCAAAAATGAAGTATCTAATGCGATTTTATTATTCTTGACTCTTAGGTAATATTCGATAGCATATGTATGATAAAATATAGATAATAGAAATTTACATTAAGATAAGCGAATTTAATTGACAGAAAATCATTTAATCGTGTATTCATTGCAATAAATGCAGTAATATCGTATTATTAAAAATATAAATATTGAAATTGTGTTATTTTGTTTGACAGAGCTTGATGCATGTACTGAAATACCGTGGCAAAGTCACGGAGCCGGAAGCACGCTATTACATGAAACAAATGGTAACAGGTGTTGCGTATATTCACTCTCAGAAAGTTGTTCATCGAGATTTGAAGCCAGGTAACATGTTCCTATCGGACCGTATGATTGTCAAGATCGGGGATTTTGGACTGGCGACAAGGCTTGATGGACAGTGCAGACGAGTGTAAGTTTTTTTTCGATTTCTGTTCAATTTTTGCCTAATTTTATTTGATTTTCTTTAATCAAAGCATATTTATTCGAACTTCACATTCAATAATCTTTAAGAGTTTGTTTAACTAATGCGCTTAATGTGATATTTATATTATTTAATTATTGCAATTGGAAAGTTATAAATATTTTCTGAAAGAAGAAAGAAACTTTAATGTGATATTTATATTACATAATTATTGCAATTGGAAAGTTATAAATATTTTCTGAAAGAAGAAAGAAACAATATGCAATGATACAAAAAGAAGATATCAGTAAATCAGTAAATCAGTAAATTAATATTGAAATAATGATACATCACAGAAAGAAGATATCAATATATCAGTAAATTGATATTGAAATAATGATATTTATATATGTAGTTTTCGTTTGAAAATAACAAGAATTACTTGATAATTAAAAATTGTGAATTTCATAATTCACAACAGTTTCCGTGTACCTTATAAAATTTATTTAGCACAAGATATTTGAACTAATATACTATTTTAATTAAATTAAATTTAAATCAGTATGTATTTTATCAACCCCAAATAAGTTATCGTTTACAATAAAATGCCTACATTTCGAAAGAATGCCAATTTCGCAAAAAAATATATTGTTTACAAACAAAATAGCTACAAGAAAACAATATTTTCAATGATTGCAAACATGATTTTACAAAAATTGTTACAAGAATATGTATATTAAAATATATAAAATTTGTAATTATAGTTATTTTTATCTTACTTTGTTAGATTTTTAAATTATATATAAAGTTTCATGTATAATATCCTTAATCAAAGTGTTTCTTTAATAATGTTTTTATTAAAACTTACTTTGTTTTATTAAAACTTACTTTAATAATGTTTTTATTAAAAACTTACTTTGTTAGATTTTTTTAAATTATATGTAATGTTTCATGTATAATATCCTTAATGAAACTGTTTCTTTAATTAATAATGTTTTTATTAAAAACGAAAGGCATTGACGTATAAAAACGGAAACCTAAAATTAAGCATTCTTTATAAAATTTTTATTCCTGAGATCTATAGAGCCAGTTGATAGTTATAAATTCCGATAATAGTTATAAATTTACTTATATATTTATGATAGTTATATATTTTATGTCAATTATTCAATAAATATCAAACCTGATCATCATCCATAAAACCATTTTATCATGTTTGATCTTACATATGTCAATTCTTATATAATATTTATTAACTCTTTGAGTACTATAAGTACATATGCGTTTAGAAAAAGCATCATGGCCTATAGAGAACATACCAAAAGTTTTAATTATTAGTACTAAATATTTATTAAATATTATTAAATATATTTTAATATTAAATTATAATATAAATATAATATATTTTAATATTATTATTAAATATTATTAAATATATTATATATATTATATATATTACATATTAAATAATATATAATATTAATATATTAAATGTTACCTGTATAATATTTATTATCAAATTTTATTACCAAATTTTGATTTTATTATACAAGATTTATTATACAGGCCAAATATCTAAGTATCTTCTTTAATGTTAACAATATGAAAAATGTTTGAATGGAAAGTATTATTATACATAGAACATTTCTTTCTTATAATCGTTTTTTACAAATTTTTTTTTACATCGCTAGTATTACATTGCCAGACAGCATGTATCTACTTTTTTTATTCTGTTATATACCTGTAGCATATATACACGGTGATTCTTAAATGCGTCGCAATATTTCAGATGGTGAATCTATACATTAAAATAAATAAAAATCGTCATATAAATCTATGTTCTACGTATCTTAATTTTCGAAATGTAGATTAAAAAAAAATGTTCGATTTTCATACGTACATTCACCAGCTGAAGTATACATATACATATGCAGAATTTTGTGTTCTTCATGTCTATTATAAATTAAAAAAAAAAGAATACTGTTAAATATAGGGATCTTATCTGTTACATTCATACAACATTAATTTATATATATATTAATATAATACATATATTCAAATTAAACTCGTGACTGATTTCTTGTAGTTACCTTGTAGCTATCTTACAGCTGGTCTAGCTATGTAGTTATTGTTACTAAATTGACAATTTATTTTCCATGAATTATTTTTTTAAACGTTTGAATTTTTGCCAACGTGTTGCTTAAAACGATAAAGTAAATCGTACTTTTTTATTACTTTGTACTTTATATCAATTACATAAGTAGTTCTAATTGAAAGCTTCTCTGTAATTCGATTTACAGAATATGCACGTAACGGAAACGTGTATAGGTATATGCATATGTACGACTTGGAAATAACAAGCAGCTTCACATTTAATACACATGTTGAAACTTGTTTGTATGCACAGGACGATATGCGGAACACCGAATTACATTGCGCCGGAAGTGTTGTATAAGCAAGCATACAGTTATGAGGCGGATGTTTGGGCGCTCGGATGCATACTTTACGCCTTATTGGTAGGCCAACCACCTTTCGACACAGCGTCTCTGAAGGAGACTTATGCCAGAATATGTAACAATCATTACCGAGAAGTTGACGATTCAATAGCAAGTCGAAACGGGCAAGATCTCATCAGATGGCTTCTGCAGCCGAATCCAGAACTCAGACCGTCTTTAGAAAGAGTGAAGGAACACGCTTATCTCACTAAGGAATATGTACCAGCCTCGTTGCCTCGCATTTCTTGTTTCCAAAAACCACGTGCCTCTGTAATCGATCCTGTATCGTCTCCTTCGTCGAATTCTATGACATCTAGGAATCAGAAACTTAATAATATTCAGGTAAATGAACGATTTATTATTTATTTTTTAATACATTAAAAAAAAATTATTCGGCTCTGCAATCTGTACGTAAGATTTTCAAAATTCTTGAATCTAACATCTTTCAAGGCAGCATGAAGATTGTATGACAATAGATACAACTTAGCAACGTTTGATACATTCAGTATTTGTTGGTTACTTATTTGCTTATTACTGTAATCTCTGTTAACATTGGAATTTAGCATTTCAGATAAGACTGAAGGAATTATAATAATGAAAAAAAGTCATTCAGTGGTTTATGTTAGAAATGGTGTTATAAATTAATTAAGTTTATGATTTCGTTTAAATTCATAATTTATATCATCTGTGCAAGACATAATATATTTTTACAAAGATATAATATATTTGTTTAAACTTTTATATAAATTATAATATATTACAATTGGCTTTTATTCTCACAGTCATCTCAAACTTGATGTGTTATTAAGTTAATTGAAACGTTAATTTCAAAATAAATTACATGCGAAAGATTGATATGCTATGAGACAAAATTTAAAGAACATAATAATTTTAGGCATAACAGTGTCTGACACTTTAATCAGAACAGTAAAAAAATCATAATTTAAATAGTAGATTATGTTTAGTGATTAAAATACAAATTCTTTATTCGCATATTCTATGTATCAGTTTGTAAAACTATTGACAATTACAATGATAGTACATATTTAAGATTTCTTGTTTATCATATAAAAATCTATCTCTTTGATAAGAGGTGATATGTGTGTTTATTCTCATACTATAATTTGGTATAAGAATGAATCACAATCATTCTTATATCAAATCATATTCATATCATTATTTCAAAATTTTGATCATTTGGCAAGTTTATCATCAAAGTACATCTTCATCAAGTCATACAAAAGATTGTGCCAATAAGAACAATATGAAACTTT